ATCGAATGATCTCACCCAGCGGTTTCATGTTGAAAAGAAGGGGGGACAGGACCGAACCCTGCGGCACCCCATGTGTTAGGGGCCTAGGGGTCGATCTCTGCCCTCCGACTAACACCGACTGCGACCTGTCCAAGAGGTAGGAGGAGAACCACTGTAAAACAGTGCCTCCCACCCCCACCTCCCGCAGTAGCTTGACCTACCAGGGTAGAGTGTATCCAATACCCTAATTGAGGAACTACCATTTCAGACAATGAAGAAGTTAAAGAACAGCCTAACCAAGGAAATACAAAGGAGGAAGTACAAAGGAGAAAACAACACCCCCACCAACATTGATAGGGCAAGCCACTGTACAATATTACATGTTGTAATAAATAAAATAAATTATTCCTACTAGTCTTGTTTTGGCAGACTGAACTCTCTTTAGTCATATTATAAGGCAGGTAGCTTATAAACTTTGTACATTAAAAAATGTATTTGGATGATACAACAATCATGGTGAAAGGTTTTCATTAGTCCTTAGAGGAAATATATAAGTTCAAAGCGTAATTAATAGAGCACCTCTGTTTATTTATTTGTTTACAGTTCTAATTTGTTATACTCATACAAAAAACGAAGACACTCTGAGATCTCCTTTATCGATTGTTACAGCACTCGTGGATAAAATTGGTAGGTGTTTAATTGTTAATGGCTTGATATCTGTCTGGGAAGTTTACACTGTGTTATTCAGTGAAAAGCAGCTGAAATTTAAACTCTGATGTTGAGAAGGTGAAAAAGAGGAGACAAAGTTCTGACACTTTTAGATGACCATTTTCAGGAATAGCTACATGTTCTGATGAATATACATTTGTGGCCATCATGTCATTTTTGAATCTATCCTCTCCAATTTGCTCAAAAGTCCAAATGAATAAATATATCATTTCATAGGCTAGACGAGTGACCACCTTTTTCTAAAGGTGTGCCAAAATAGTGCATGTGCACGCTATCATGTGCATGTGTATGCCCCTGTGCATGCATGCTCAACCCCCCCGCACAGGGGGATGGAGTTTTCACTCTCCCCAGGCTCCGAAGCCTGTCCTGAAGCCTGGGGAGGGTGAAAACGGTCTCCCGGTCCCCCGGAGGCCCCCCAGAAGGCAGAAACAGATTGTTTCTGAACTTCCGGTTGGCCCATTGGGCCGGTTTTTCACCCTCCCCAGGCTTTAGGAAAGCCTCCGGAGCCTGGGGAGGGTGAAAAACAGGCCCAACGGCCCAACTGGAAGTTTGGGAATGGCGAAAATGGCCTCCACAGCTCTCCGGAAGGCCAAAAATCAGCTGGCTGGAGCTAAGGGCTGCTGTGCCGGCAAATATGGCTCCACATGCCACCGGTGACATGCGTGCCATAGGTTCGCCATCACGGGGCTAGACATTATATCCTATTATATCTTAGATACTGTATCTAAACAGAACAGAAAAGATTTGTTATTACTTTTTTCTGGAAAATTAAATAATTGCGTTTAACATTTTAAAAGACCAAATTCTTGCAAGATTACCAAGAGAGTCAATGTTTTTGCTTAAGTTGCAGGAGTGCAGTGGAAAATAATTTATACTACAATGTTGCATGAAACTGCCTGCTGCCTGAAAAGGTTGCTGACCCCAAATTGATTTTTTAAAAGTAGTACTGTTCTCCGTTAGATAAATGTTGATTATCAGTCCTTAGAATCTGTGCTCTGAACCCTTTCTTCTATCCTTTTAGGTTTATGGAAACAGCATATTCATCCTGATTGTGATATCAAGTTCACTGGGAATGTTTCCTGGGTTGGAAAAACTTCAATGGAAGTGAAGATACACATGCTTCAGGTTAATGACAGTGAGCTTCGTTTGCTCTGTTTCTGAATTTAGATTCTTACATTTGGCAAGCTATACTATGCTGTAATAAAATTCTGTGGCAGGTTAGCCAAATAGTAAAACAGTATTCAAAAGGATAAGTACAAACTGGAATGTAACACCCTTGTTTATTAAAGTGTATTTTGGTCTGTTTGAAGAGAATGTGATTTTTGACCGGCACAATTAAATTGACAGGGAGAATCTTACTTATGAACTCTTTTAAATAAATATTGGCAGTATGTATTCTACTTAAATTTCCTTGTTTTTTTTTCCTTTTTGGCATCCATAGAAAAAAATAGTTTAGTTCTGAAACTGTATCAAGTTTTAATTGAATTATCACAGGATACTGTTTCTAATGTTTTTCCCCCTCTCATATTCTCTTTTTTTAGTTACTTGATGCAATCTATTGCCCTGTGTTAGATGCAACTTTTGTCATGGTGGCCCGTGATCCAGAAAATAAAAGGTAATATTCCTAGCAGTTTATTTAAAATAATCAGTGAGGAATACAAGTGATGGTAAAAGGCGATGAAGCTATTGACTTTCAATTATCGTGGAACTTCAGCCCCCATCAGCCCCTGGCTGTATGACCAGTGGGAAGCTGAGGGTTCTAGTTCAGCAATATCATAGGTTCTCCACTGTGTTCAGTCAGGTATAGATGTTTCCATTTTTATCTGTAACTTTCAATTACAGGTTGTCCTTATTTAATGATTCCCATTTCACTATTGCTAAGCAATGGTCAGCAATAGTTGTTAAGTGAGATATCATGTGACCATGAGTTGCAATTTCATTCAGGCTTCCCCATTGACTTTGGTTGTTGGAAGCAACTAGAACGGTTCCCAATGGGGATCACCTAACTGTGGGATGGTACAACAATAGTAAATGCAAAGTTGCCAGGAGCCCGAATTGTGATTACATGACCATGAAGATGCTGCAACTGTTGTAATTTTGAATCATTTTTTTCAGCCCCATTGTAATTTGAACAGTTGCTAAACATGTTGTTTTTAAGTGAGGACTCCTTGTATTGTGGATAGCTGGGAAGTGCGGCTCTGATTTCTGTGTCACCCATCCTTCTCAGATCTTATTTTTGCCCTCTATTCAATAAGTCATAATGTTATTGATTCACTTTGCTAGTTTTGAAATTGGCTTAAAGCTGTAGCAAAAAACTATGTTCAAAAGTATAGCATTGCATTTTTAATGTTAAACATATGTGTCTGAAAATAGTTCGTTGCTTATTTTATTATTTTATTTATTTGAGTCCCAGGCTTTAAAGGACTCCAGAATATGTAAAGGTTGACCTATTATGTTAGTATTTGTGGTTTATTTTTTTTACTTATACTGTTTATTTTGCCATAACTAGAGGTTTCTGAGTAGCATCTGGCCAGTTAAAATAAAACAAAATAATTCAATCAAATCATTTTTTTTTAAAAAGTAGAATAGTAGAACAGAGCTAGATATAACATAAAAATCAGGAGCATCAATATTAATGGCAATAAAACTACAGTAGAATCTCTGGTCACGAACGCTTCTGACAACGACCAAATCAGGTTCCGACCAAAAAGTTCACAATATTTTTTTCGCTGCTGATTTCCCCTTTCCCCATTTGTTTTGTAAGCACCAAATTTCCAAAATGAGGTTCGGGTCATGACCAAATTGGTTTGTGACCAAAGTTATGGAACGAATTATGGTCATGACCAGAGGTTCTACTGTATAAGGCAGCAATAAAATGAATGGTGCAAAATACCAAATTATGTCAGACTATGTAGATGTATAGTATTTTACATTGAAGGCAAAAAGAAGTTTTAGAGTGCAAAGGTAATGAATGTAGCTCTTATTTACAATTCCTTTTAACAGCTGGGCCTTATTGTGGATTTTTCAGCTATTGTAGGATCCATAGATATACTTAACCCCAGACAGGTGTTATGTTTTCACTTCCCTGCATGCTCTGCCCCCCCCCCGCCCCCATAGAACAAAACATGAGTCAACAAATAAACACAATACAAATAATTAAACCAGGTACAAAAACTCACGTTTGGATATCAATCATTCTAGCTAGCCAGGAAATCACACTAAATGTCACTCATCTTCGTTTGTTGTCATTAAACTTCTTTCCGGCAGCTTGCTTCTTGATTCAATTTTGTTCTTCAAATCGCTGATTGTTGCATCCCCGTTGGAAGAATCCTAATCGGGCAGCCTTTTTGTTCCTAACAGCCTTCAGATCTTACGTGCTACACTGTCCTAGGGCACTGCATTGACTGTCCTCTTTAGATCATTGTCTTTTCAAGTTAAATAATTTGTGTTGTTGAGTAACAATAAGAAAAAGTGTTGTTTTAAAACACTAAAATAGACATGCAGTTTTCTCTTTGCAAATGAACTTCTACGTAAGTAACTATGCTAGGTTGCAGCCAAAAACATTTCATTTCCCCCCTGTAATGCATATTGTTTTGATTTTTTCAAATATATCCTCAGACCAGCATTTGTCAATCCATTAATTGCTGAAACCCCCGAGGAGGAAAAAATCTTCAAGGAAGGAGAAAGTAAGTACTCTCCTAGCCTGGTTTTTTTTGGAGGAGGTAATGGAGAAATTTTGTTTTATGGTCATTCCTAAATAATTGGGGGGAAACATAGGTTCTTTGGGAGTGAAATAGTTTGGTACCTACAGCAATCTAAAACACACTTACAGATTTCATCAGTTTTGAAAAAAGGGTTGAAATAAAGCTGTTGGAAGCTAATTGTCATTCATTTTACATGTATCATTCCATTGATCAGAGAACAAAACCAGGCGGCTTGAATCTAGTAGGGCTTCTTTACTGAAGGTTGCTCCTACCGCAGATGAAAGAAATATTATCCACAATATGTTCCTGAATACTCTGGATTCAAGGTAGGAAGTTCATTTATAAACATTTATTACAATTTTCCAAACTCGATGCATTCCATGTATACAATATTAGGATTACAATTTGGATGACTCCCAGACAGTGTGGTGCAGCAGTTATGCTGCTAGACTGTGATTACATAGAGTCAGGTTTAAATTTATTCTGTCATAAGTGCACAATGTGTAACTTTGATCCAGTCTCTCAGCCTAACGTACTTCACAAGATGGTTGTTAACAAAAAGAATTGGAGGAGGGACAGTTTGAAAGCAGAATATGTTTATAGCCTAGTGATGAGGAAAGAATAACTAGATGTTCTTGGATTCTCCATCAACGATATCAAATATGGAGTCTCCAGATATTATATTGCAGTGCCATCAATCATCTTGCTTAGGTATCAGAGAAGACAAGGTAAGATATGTAGGTGAACCTAATTCAGGGGTGGGTTGCTGCCGGCATTACTGGTGGTTCGGTGCAATTTTGCCTATGTGCACTTGCTTCGCTTGCACGCGCACCAGTCACATGCTCTGTGCACGGGTGCAGTTCCCTATAAATAGATCTGCACATGCGCAGAACATTTAAAAAAGGAAAAAAAACTTGCCCAGCCAAACAGGGAACCAGTTCAGAGGCGTGGCAGGCCTGGGTTGCTGCTGGTTCTGGCAACTCAGGCTGGTACACACTAGCGGTTCAGCTGAACCGGGCTGAACTGGTAGGAACCCACCTCTGACCTAATTCCCATTCATGGTGATTCCCATTCACAGCATGTGGATGAAGTGGTATCCATATAGTCTTGAGTAAAGGTTGACATTCACAATATTGGGATATGACAGTATTCTTAACAATTTTACATGTCATCCATTTTTTAGGACAGTAAGTTTTCGTAGTCGGGTATTACTACCCAATTCAGTATGGATGGAAGACACAAAATTAAAGGGTTTGGAGATCTGCCATCCACAGGTATTTACTGAGCTATAGCTGATGTAGACTAATCCTTTTGTTTGACTCTTGCTTCAAATTGGTACATGATGTGGTACTTTCTATAATACGGTAGCTATTTGGCAGTTTGATTTTTTGATAAATATTCATAGCCACAAAGTAATGAAACATCTTCAGAAATTTAACTGCTCTGTACCCTTAATATTTAAAGAAGACTTTGAAGCTATATTACTCAAGAAATGCACACCAAATATATAATGTATTGCCAGTTTTTGCTTGTAGTTCTGACTGGTAGCAATTTGGAGGGAATTTCCCTTAATTTCAATACACTGCAGCAAAGCCAAACAGTTTTGTAGTTTTATTAATCTATGGTTCTGAGGCATTCTCTTTTAGAATATAACAAAAATTTTCAAGAGAGTAGACAAGCACTTTTTATAAAACATAATTACATACATTATATGCATCACTTCCTGTATACTGCAACTTATTTGGAGCAAGCAGTATTGTTAAGCAATAGCTTTTTTGTGTGTGCCTTTAAGCAAGGGTTGATTCTTGGTGACTGCATGGACAAGACCCTGCAGTTTTCTTAGTAAGGCTTCTTGAAAATAGTTTGCCATTCCCAGGGCTGAGAGTGAAAGGCCCAAGGTCACCCAGCTGGCTTCACACCTAAGACAAGACTAGAATTCAATCACCCAGTTTTTAATTGGTTGCTTTAACCACTATACCAAACTGGTTCTTGAGCAATAACTTATTAGCACAAAAAACAACAACACTTCAATCAGGCAGTTACTGGGAATCATGCAAAGATAGCTCTATGGATCTTATCAATGGTTCTTTTCCCTTCCAGAATATAATTACATACTTCATATGCTTCCACATTGGTTTTAGCAGAACTTTCTAGAAGTTTGACTAAATAGCTTCTACCTTGTTATTATATGCTCTGTGTTTGCTGATTTTGGTGTTCTGCACAGAGTAATGACAAGTATGTCATTAGAGCAAAAGTAGCATTTCAGTTGATAGATAGAATAAACCTGTATTTATCTCATCTTGTTTTATAATATACAAGTGACAGGTTGTTGTGGTTCTGTGTTTTCAGAATCTGCACTTTGATTTTTTTAAATGGAATATTCTAATAATACAAATTGCTCTTCATTTTAAAGAGCTGAGGATGTATGCATGTAGGTGTACACTGTCAGGATTTTTCAAACTGTGTCTTGGGATTGTGCGTGTGTGGGTTCACCAACAAAACCACGACGGACAAATGCACGCCGACAAAAACTGTGATGGACAAATGCGCGCTGACAAAATCGCTAATTGATTTTTGACAAAAGCGCGCCGACAAAATCGTGCCATCAACAAACTACATAGTGGGACGCGTATACGTACGTTACAACCCTAACCCTAAAATTTTTCAATTTTATTGTCCTTGTCATCGTGCTTTTGTCGTCGCGATTTTGTCATCGCATCTTAATTGGCGCTATTTTATCAGTGCGCACATGTCTATTGTGCAATTGTCGGGTCACGGTGTGTGTGTTGGTCATAATAGCTGTGGTGGAGGGTGTCACTTTTGTTTTTGTTTTTCAAAAGCTTAATCAATTTGCACAAAGAGAATGGGAATTCTGTCAGTCTTCCCTGGGCTTTGTCTGCACCCTGTGAGCAATTGCAGTTTTATACAGTTTAAAAATCCCTTTAATACATAAATTTTAATTATTAAAAGTAAGTGGTCTATTTATTTCTTGCCCACTCTAACCCCATTGAAGTCATTAAAAAATCTATCATTTTAGGGAATAACTGTATTATAGTACATGGTTTGATAACCCCTATCTTTAGTAATTTGTGTAAATGCTCAAAATTCATTCGTCCTATGGATATTTGTCAATATAGGAACGCAACATTTTCAACAGAATCTTTGGAGGCTTTCTCATGAGAAAAGCATATGAACTTGGTTGGGCTACTGCCTACAGCTACGGGTAAGTATTAGGCTATGTCTCTCTTCCTCTCACTTGAAATATACCATTGCCAGAATATTAGGGAAGGATGATGTCAATATCCTTTCTCATTTAGCATCTGTTGCCAGGCTTCTTCCCTTGCTTTGCACAATCTGAGCAAGAAGCATAATGCACTTAAAATCAGTGTAAACTAGTTACACTAAACTAGTGTAAACTTTTCTAAGTCACGTCTCACCTTTTCTCATTCTGAAACTGAATTGACTAAAAATATACATTGTTTAAAATATTACAAGTTGTCCTTGACTTACGACCACAATTGAGCCCAAAATAAGATAAGATAAGATACTTTATTTGTATGCCGCCCTTTTCCCTGGGGGGACTCAGGGCGGCTCACAGTTCAGGAGGAGGGGAGGACAAACCAAGTTACATATAAGACAATGCATCATTAAAAGCACAACATTCATACTATTCGGGCAGGGTCTTTAGTCTTTAGCCCGAGGCCTGTCGGGACAGCCAGGTTTTAAGGGCTATGCGGAAGGTCTGGAGGGTGGTGAGGGTACGAATCTCCACGGGGAGTTCGTTCCATAGGGTCGGAGCTGCCACAGAGAAGGCTCTCCTCCGCGTGGTTGCCAGTCGACATTGACTGGCTGATGGAACTCGGAGGAGGCCTAATCTGTGGGATCTAATTGGTCGAGTGGAGGTGATTGGCAGTAGGCGGTCTCTCAAGTACCCAGATCCAATACCATGAAGGGCTTTGTAGGTGACAACTAGCACCTTGAAGCGTACCCGGAGATCAACAGGTAGCCAGTGCAGCTCGCGGAGGATAGGTGTTATGTGGGTGAAACGAGGTGCACCCACGATCGCTCGCGCGGCCGCATTCTGGACTAGCTGAAGTCGCCGAATACTCTTCAAGGGCAGCCCCATGTAGAGCACATTGCAGTACTCCAGCCTAGAGGTCACAAGGGCACGAAATGTCTGTTGTTGTGAGACATTTGTTGAGTTTTGCGCAATTTCATTATCTTTCTTGCCACAGTTGTTAAGTGAATTATTGCAGCTGTTAAGCTAGTAACATTATGTTAAGTGAATCTGGCTTCCCCATTGACTTTGCTTGTTAGAAGATCGCAAAAGGTGATCACATGACCCCCTGGGGCATTACAACCATTGAGTCAGTTGCCAAGTGTTGGAATTTTGATCATGTGACCCCGGGGATGCTGCAATGGTTGTAAGTGTGAAAAATGGTTAAACATCATTTTTTTTCAGTCCTGTTGTAACTCTGAATGATCACTAAATGAACTGTTGTAAGTCGAGGACTATCTATATAAGCATACAACAGAAAATGAGGGAGAAGGTTGGTGGGAAGATGCTGGGGAGATTGGGGAGAAGGCATATCAATGGCAGGTATGGGAAAATGCTGAAGCCATTGGGATAGGTAAGTTGGTGGGAAGATGCTGAAAAGGGGATGGCTAGCAGAAATAGCAGCCATGGAAACATTTTTGGAAGATTGGAACTAGAAAAGACCTTGGAGGTCTTCTAAGCCAAGCAGGAGACTGGTCCTCACTGTTAGGAACTTTCTCATTAATTCCAGATTATTTCTCTCCTTGATTAGTTTCCTTCATTTCTTGTCCTGCCCTTTAGTGTTTTGGAAAATCAGTTGACCCGCTCCTCCTTATGGCAACCCCAAATACTGGAATACCACTATTATACCCCCCCTCGTCCTTCTTTTCTCTAGACTAGCCAAACCCAAATCCTGCAACCGTTCTTCATGTTTTAGTCTCCAGGCCTTTAATCATCTTAGTTGGACTTTGTACTTTTTCCGAAGTCTCAACATCTTTTTTGTAATGTGGCGATCAAAACTTGATGCACTATTCCAGGTGTGGCCTTACATAGGCTTTATAAAGCAATACTAATACTTCATGTGATTTTGATTCTATGTCTCTGTTTATATAACGAAGGATTGTGTTAGCTTTTTTGGCTGCTGCCACATACTGCTAGCTCATATTTAAGTGATCATCCACTAGGACTCCAAACCCCTCTCACAGTTACTGTTTTTGAGCAGATGCATAGGAAAATAAATAAATAACACTAATTAAATTATATTAACTACCATACCCTTTTCTTTTCATTTTCTCAAAAAACCACCTAATTTTAAGTCACTATGTGATTATACAATTGTAACTGTATTGCCTGATATAATATTTTCACATATTTTAGGTTGGCCCAGTACAGTTAAGACTAATTTATCAATACTAATTGTATCAGATGACAGTGAATATGGATGTAATTTAAGAATGCAGGAATTGAGATTTTATTCATCTGTTAACCCCGTGTGGCAGAAATAACTTTGCTGAGATGATAACATCAATTCTTTCCATCTCATTCTGAGTAGGATACAGATAATACTTGATTTATGACCACAATTGAGCCCAACATTTCCTTTGCTAAGCAAGACTGTTGTGAATATTGCCCCATTTTCTCGCCACAGTTGTTAAGTGAATCACTGCAGTTGTTAATTTAGTAACGTGGCTGTTAAGTCAATCTAGATTTCCCACTGACTTTGCTTGTCAGAAGGTTGCAAAGGTGATCACGTGACACTGTGACACTGCAACCATCATAAGTATATGCCAGTTGCCAAGTGTCCAAATTTTGATCACATGACCATGGGGACGCTGGAATGATAATGTGAAAAACAGACATAAATAACTTTTTTCAATGCTGTTGTAACTTTGAATGGTCACTAAATGAATGGTTGCAACTTGAAAACTACCTGTATTGGGCTCTCACAGCAGTCAATATTACCAATTCAAGATTGTGGTAGCTGTAAGAAACAATATTTATTTAATAAATAAACAAGCAACATTGCAATAAAGTCAAGTCAATAGCTATTGCTGATGTTACTAGACAGTGTGTAAGGAATAGATATCACCAGTGCAGAGAAAGAGAGAGAAAAGGTTGAGAGTTTACTGTTAGCTATAGAGAACTGCAGTAGAGAAAAGACAGGAGAAAGGATAATTAGATTATGTTGACAGGAAATTTAGTTTGAGTCTATGTTATCTTATAAAGTTGCAAAGATCTTGTGTTTCCTGGAGGCATTATTTTTAGGTGTATCCTTTAGCACTTGATCAAGTTTCACTTACAAAGGAAATTATTAAGATCATATCTGATATTACCGGTTATGTATTTTTATATTCAAATGTAGGGATGGCACTAGTGGAAAGGAAAGCAAGTGCAGTATAAATCCAATATTTTTTATTTGAAAATTATGTTAGTTTTGAATGGGTGTGGAATTCCACATAATAATTCACCTTATTCTTAGATAACATACATGAGGATCAGTTGTTATTTTTACTGTACCTTCTAATAATAGCTTATGAATTGTAAAATCAGCTCCTTGGATGCTTAAGCTGATTTTAGCTTAGTGAAATAATAAAGTCTTTATACTTGCTAGTGTGTGTATAATATGCTACAATAAGCAGTTATGAATTTGAGCAATAATCAATATGATTTCTTAAGATTTTTTTACTGGATTGTCATGAACACCTGAGAATCTGTAGTCCAATGAGTTTGGAAAATATGCATAATTAAATTTCTATTTTATAAACTAATATTTTATACCATTTATTAACAAATTTCAGGATCATAATAAGTTTCTAACATGGAATATAATTTGAAATATAAAACAATCCATGTCCATCTTTTAAAAGTATATGTATGGTTAAATATGCATAATTACAGTATTTTTTTCATACACCAGAAACGCCAGACCTTATGTGGTAGCTGTGGATGATATTATGTTTCAAAAACCAGTTGAAATTGGATCCTTACTATTACTCTCTTCCCAGGTAATAGACTAAATAGATCAAACTAACATTAAGAAGTTGGATAAATACTGATCTTCTTTAAATACGGGAAGTTCTTGACTTAAAATGGAAATTGGGACTGAAATTTCCATTGCTAAGTGATGTGATTGTAAAGTATGACTGCTTCGCTAGCAATCTCTGCAATCATGGTTGCTGCTGTTAACTAATCTGAACGTGATTGTTAGGTAAGGCAACTTTCTGTCTTCTCATAACCAAAGTCAATGGGGAAGCCAGCAGGAAGTTGCAAATCCCAAGCTGCCTGGTAGGTGAATGACTGGGGGAGTATGTTGGAGAGGGAGCAAAGGAGTGCTCAGAATTATGGGAGTTGGTGTATGATACAAGAGTGTGCAAATGGCTGGCACAATGCAAGCACAGAGTTGCTGGCAGAGAGTACAAGGGTAGGGAAGAATCTCCCTGTAATGGCTCCTCTCCTAACTTGAGAAAGTAAAGACTCTTGAAACGGATTATTTCAAAAGGAACCTTTAATCAAGCAGGATGGAAACCATTAGAAGCAAAGCAGCATCTGAAAACCTTTAGGCCATGCAAATGGGATTAAGATGATAATGACCTCTCCCCTTTGTCCGAATGCAGATTCTGACCAATACACAAGTGTGAAGATGCTTCCTTAACTCTTCTGCCCTGGGAGTCAATAAAGCACACGTTCCCATGGCTATCTCTAATTAGACATCAAAGTTATATATCATACATGGCTATCATAAACATCCCTCCAGAGATATTGGGACCTTCAGTCTCCTGGTGACAGGAAACCAGTTGTAAAGTTGTAAAACTCAGTTGTTTCAGATGTAGCTAATGATTTAATTCCGAGGCTCCCCCGCCTCCCAATTGAATGGCAGTATCACTATTAGGGATCTGACACCCCCATTGACTTGCAACCTTCCCTGATGTCTTCTCCACTGACTTTCTGTAGAAGCCAATAGAGAAGGTTGCAGATGGTATTTATGGAGATTCTCAGTCATACAGGTTGTCCCAAAGGTGCTTTTTCAAGAGGCAACTGGACTTTCTGGTTTTTCTTTGAAGAAATTTCGCTGAAAGAATTAAAACACATCAAGGAAGCCCTTAGATTAGAACATGTGACTATCCCAAGTGGGCCTTCATCAAAAGACCCAACAGGAGCTCCTCTATAAGAGACAACAAAGAGAACAATAAACAAAGCAACATCATTCCATATGTTGCAGGCATATCAGAACATCTCAGGAGGATCTTCAATCAGCACAACATATATGTACACTTCAAACCCAAAAATAAACTAAGGCAAAAGTTTGTGTACCCCAAGGATAATACACCCAGATACAAACGGAGCAATGTGGTATATGCAGTGAGCCATATGCAGATCAGTACACTGGGGAAACAAGACAACCACTTTATAAACACATGGCACTACATAGAGAACAAACCCATTAAGACTAGATTCAGCAGTCCATCGGCATTTAAAAAACAAAGGCCACTCTTTTGAAGATAGAAAAGCCCACATTTTGGATAGAGAGGAAAGAGGGGAGGCCATCTATGTCAAAATTGAACAGCCCTCTCTCATCATCTATCTCCAATTTACAACACAGTCCTTTCAACACTTCCAAGAAAGCTCCACACCTATTTGCACCATTCAGGTGATCCTTATGACATAAACATCCAGGCCTTAAATCAGTGGTTCCCAAACTTTTTCAGTCCACCGGCCCCTTGGTGCTACAAACTGATCCTCAGTGCCCCCCACCCAGTGGTGGAATTCAATTTTTTTTACTATCAGTTCTGTGTGTGTGGCTTTGTGGGCATGGCTGGGGGGGGGGGTCATGTGACTGGGCGGTTTGCACGACGGAAGGAAGATAGTAACAGTAAAATTCAAAACTGTAACAATTAATTGCACATTTATTCAAAATCCAATTTAAAAACCTTTTTAGTTAATGTTAATTCATCAACATTGATAACATGATCCAGTGATACCAGATTTTCAAAGTCTGATAGTCATTTATCAAGAATCTTAGTAACTACTAACTTAGTAAACTCAGTAAAATTCAGTAACTACTTCACTGTATATATTATTATATTATAACCTTTTATTCTTAGAGGGTTTTCCCATCTGAACCAAAGCAGAAACGGAGTCAGATATCAACATCAAAGATTTGT